TTGTATCATAGGAAGCATCTATTTCATATTAACTCCAAAATATTTTCCAGGATTAAATTGTGCGTGTGCGTTTATTTTACGAAGGATGAATATCCTTGAACGAAAGATGGAATTTGGAAAGGAATATGTACAGAAAGCGACAGCGGTGTTGCAAGGTGAGAAAACCAGTTTGTCACAAGTGTTCGAAACTGGTTGCTTGAGAATCATTTTATTTTTGTTGGTTCATTCATTCATTCCTTCGACTCCGCAAGGTACATTTAAAACATTTACATTTTTCTTTTCCTAAAAGCTAAAGAAAGCAGAGTAGTTAGTACTGTGCATGAGTTAATGAGCGGATGTGCCCTTTAATAAATAAAATTAAATTGAAAATAATGAAGTTTGTACCAAATTATTGTAATTGGAGCCCGAAATTCAGGCATTTATTTACTTAAAATATCAATAAGAAATTTATTGTAGTTCAAGTAGAGGTGCAAGTAGGCATATAAATAAAGAAATATATTTCATAGTAATATTATTCCTATAACAGTAATTAAAATGATCCACTTTTATATTCCAATATATACTTCAGCATGAACATGTAAGGAAACACTCTTTGTAACCTTGATTCCGAATGGGCATCAGATATGATTGCTAGGAATGTTTTCCTCGCGTCTATCTCTTTGAAGAGCTATTGTGGACTCCCGTTTGAATCATGAAATGGCATCACTGAAAACAAAATTATATATTGCGTTCTTCGCACTAGCACAGAGAAGGAACGTTTCTGTATCATGTTTTGTATACAGAGAGCTGTCCTCTAAAAGGACCGGAGAGTACCATACTCAAAAGAAGGATTGGATTCCTCACGAGCGAACAAATCCTAGCAACATCAACGAAAAAAATCAAATACTATTGGTACCATTTCCTTTCTCCATTTAGAGTTTTAACACAGCCTCTGCCACCACAGAAAGACAAAAAATCGACCATGCCGTTTTGTGGTCCAGGCGAACTGCCATATGTATCCAACTTTAGAGAGTTATGTGCCAGAAAAAAGCAAATTACGTAATATATATTACGTAAAATGCGAAACTAAGACAATATTGCTAAACTTGGCATCAAATTAAAATGGGTAAAAAAAGAAAGTGAAAATGCACTAAATAACTTCATAAATACAATTGATTCCTATTGTTAAAGTCAAAATAGTAATAATAACGGAAACGTATTTTGCCAAACTACCGGTCTGGAATTGTAATAAAAGGCAGGGCGCGCATTGGTATACAGAACGCACCTCATCTGTGCACAAGAAAAGCGTTCATTATAAAGAACTTTTACAAAGAATTCTTACCCTGAGCAGGGCCGTAATTTCGTTTCAATTTTTATTTACAATTAGTGAACTGCCTTTCAACTTTTTTTTTAAGCCAACATTCACTATATTCACTATATTCTCGACATACTTTCTCTCTTCACTACAATTTTTTCGTGATATGATTTTTATTTTGACAGTTTTGTGCACCGAGGACATAAAAGAGTAATAACAATTCAGTATGTTTGTGTCATCTACCAACCAAAGGGTATCTGAACAAAACCAATGTTCAAGGTGAATCATCTTCCCACTGCCACACAGTATTTCTTAGCTTCTTCACTTATCAGGCGATTGATAACCACGTAACTCGCGCTATCCTCATCCTCTAACCGAAAGGTGTAAAGGTGGCAAAATCGGCTAATTTCATACGGAAATCCTGCTCCGTACGCCAAAGCAGAGCTTCCGGCAATTGATTAAACTCTTCGACAGGAGGACCCTTCTGAGCGAAGCAAGTAGGAAGATCGTATTTTCGTCGAAATGCCTCCTAACACCTTCTGCATCAACAACCTCCTTTCAATTCCATGAAATAATAATTTGATTATTAGGCTAATCATCTTATTCCACGAGTTCAGAAGGAGTTCTTTAATAACAATACAGTAATAAAAGAATATTTATTATAAGTGCATGAAGCGTATTTTTAAGCTGGAAGGAATATCTACATATGGAAGTTGATAACACAAAGAAGTTAATAAAAACAAAGACCAAATAAATTTACAAAATTAAAAAAAAATGACTCCTAATGAAATGACTCCTAATAATGACCCCCAATAATACTACTTAAGAGATTGTTCGCCTTTGTTTCGTTTCGACTCGTTTCGGCTTCTGAAGCGCTTTTTAGCAATTTCGATTATCAAAGACTTAATTAAAAAAAAAAAACAATTGTAAATGAATTTTCGTGCTAACGGATTTTATCGCAAACTTTAATTTCATCAACACACTACTCGTACGTACTGCTCAAGGAAAATGCATGTTGCGAGATATTTTTGGTTTTGACCGTGAAAAATGATAGGGAACTAGAGCTCTATATATAAAATAAGACATTAGAACTTAACAAAAAGTGTGTCGTACAGAATCTATGTTTTAGTGAGATTTTCATGTACAAGGTTATGTAGATAATTATTGAGTCACAACCAAAGGTTACTCTTATTTGCACGTGTTTCTTTGAGAATGATATATTAAGCTGCCGAATCACTTATTTCAGGCTCTAACGGTTGATCTAGTCAAAAAACAGTAAAAATTATATGTGATGTATGAGGAAGAAAATCTGCGCATGTTCCAATTTAAATCTAGTTTGAAATAAATTGTTTTTGCAAAGAATCTAAGACTTAACAATCGCACTTTCAACTACATTTTTAATAGATTTGCAGCTCGAACTGTGTTCTACATTTGAATGCGGTCAGTACAGTTATTTTATAAAGTACAGATAAAATACGCTCTTGGTGTAGCACATTAGCTGAAGCGTAAAAATTGTCATCACAAATTCAACTTACTGCCGTTCTAATGCCTATGCATTCATATGTCAAGAGTTAATTTACATTGTGCTATTAACATTACATGCCTAAAATTCTAGAATAATGTATCCAAACGAGGGACACTTTTTGTACAATGCACGTGTACATATATTACACCAAGGAGTCAGTGTAATCGACTAAAACAACGAACTACCACGTGCCATTACATCACGTGCAGAAGAGAGGAACGTGTTACGAAAGCGCAAATTCAAGTCAATTAAATTGAATAAGCGTCAGCAAGAAACCACGGTTTTTTTGATTTCTGATCACCACCTATTTGAACTCCCTCCGTGGCCTTTGTACAGTTACACAACCTCTCCACGCGAATGTTGAAATCATTCGTCTTCTACTTCATTACGATTTAAACGGATACATAACAAAAAAGCATATTAGGCATCGCATTTGCTAAATACTGTGAAATTATATTGATATCAAAATTCCTATTGTAAAGTGTGTTTTTTTTTTCGAAAGAAAAAGATGATCTAAGTTATGCAATCCTTGTTATACTCTTAAAATAATTCAAATATAAACACTTCCTTGAAATTCTGTATAATTAAGAATGATATAATTCTATACAGAATATAATATCTAAATGTTCACGAACGTTCAGATGAACATTTTCCGTGCCATCCTAGAAATCCCCTAATGACCGTATCGTCATACGAAACTTCGAAGTCAAGTTAGCTGTCACGTAAGGTTAACCGAACTTCAGATGAGCTCCTAAGCTCCACTCCTCCACGAGCACATGCTGAATACAACAAAAGATAAACAGCCATTCCTAATAAGGCGGGATTATATCCAGCGGGCCTTAAAATTGAGTCGGTACGATCTCTAATCACCTGATCGATTGTCAACAGCTACTGCAATTTTTTCAGGCTTTTTTAAAAAAAATCTTACAACAAATTAGACTTGACGGTGTAAATAATTGTATTAAACATTTCACATTTGGTAGGAAAACGCATAATAAAAACTAAAACCTGTCTAAGACGGAACCTAACGGTTCCTTAAAAAAATCCGCAAACTATATTAATGTTTACATCGAACGAGCAGGGCAGTCACAAAGAGTCAATTGCCATTGCAATTTATTGTCCCTTTAAACGCAATTTGAATACACAGATATACTACTTCTACAAAAAAAGCTAGTAACCACGATTTCTCCTCAAACGACTGATACCATTAACAACGCATCATATTTCCACCCACTTCTATCACTCCAAATTTCTCACCTAGCCAACTCCGACCGCCCTCTCTCACAGAACCAGAATTAAAAGTCTATCCTTATCATGCATTTGCAGTCAAATTTGCAGTCTTGATTGTTTTTAAAGGCGCGTGAAGATATCCTCAACCAAATTGTAACCAAAACCATGTACTGTAACGCAAACCTATATATTAGAACGTCAACCTACACTGCATATGTAAAGTCTGAATTGTACTGATCTAAGTATGCTCCCAAAGAAAAATTAATACATACATGCGAACGCCTCACACGAAAGGCAGTGGATTACTAGGGATGATAGAATTAAATTGTAAAAAAAACGCCTTTTAAAAACACGGCTGTAGCATTTTACAGAATTATACAAATTCAAATTTTGCATTTTGTTATACGAAATTAAATTATAGGTATTTATATAAATACTTCAACTAAGACACTATAACACTATCAGGGGAAAATTAACCGAGAGCTTATTTCAATGTTGGCTTCCTTTAATCTTCTTCTGTAACAAATGATCTTGACTGAAAACCGTTCAGCCTCTACACCGTAGGCCACTGTCAAATTAAATATTTTTAAACATCGATATGTTGTCAATGTCTCATCCCTAGTTAAGCGACCACGAAGGAAACAAATTAATTTAGCAAATACAACGCAGATTCACGACCATTTCGCACGTTGTGCGCGATTTCGCATTTTATCACAGATGGAAAACCTCGAGAGATCTACCGCGCCGACTGTCAAAACATGCAATTACTCACTTTCTCAGGGGCTGGTAACATTTCGCATTTTTAGCCCTTGGCAACATGTCCCGCTCACTCACCAAAAGGGCCTCCTCGGGTCCGCTGCCGGGCTCCCCGGCCAGCAGCCACTGCCAGCGCGCGTCGGCCAGGTTGGCACACGCGTCCGAGTAGTCGAACTGCGTCAGCTGCACGTTCACCAGGGCGTCCTCCAGCTCGGCGGCGGAGTCCCCGCCGCCCCCGCCCGCGTCGTCCTCCGCGTAGTCCTCATCCTCGCCGCCCACCGCGTCCAGGTCCTCATCCTCGTCCTCATCGCCCCACAGGCCTCGCGCGCCACGGCGGTGTTGCTGCGCGGCGACGGCGGCCGCCAGCAGCGCGGCGAGCAACGCCAGGCGCAGCCACAGCGGCGCAGCAGCTCGCGCCTTGGGCCACATCGCGACTGGCACTGGCGCGGGCGACGGCGACGGCGGCGGACGCGACGGCCAAGGGTCGAGAGAGCCAGGCGCAGTCAAGGTCCGACGGCCTTGCCTGCGGGGGAAAAAAAGAGGGACGAGGAGTGAGATAAAGAGCTCGCTACCCGGCGATCACAGCCGTATTCACCTACTCGGCCGCGTCACACCGCGCCCGCACGATCTAATTGCTCGCCTGGGAAGCCCGGCGCTCTTGCGTGCACGGACAACTTCCCGAACTCCGCTCTCATTTCCCCTCCAAATCCAGGAAGGGATGTACACGCGCAAGCTGAAGCGGCGGGAGGCGGGGTGCAATGGCTACAAAATATTTATAGTTGTGGTGCGTTATCGTTGGAATTTTTCATGAAATAATTATAAACGTTGTCATTGCCAACAGTAGTATTTATTGCAAGAGCAGCTTTCGATGGCCTAGCCATCATCAGTTGTCTGCTGAATGGAAGCCACAAAAACGACAACTGATGATTATGGCTAAGCCATCGAAAGCTGCTCTTGCAATAAATACTACTGTTGGCAATGACAATGTTTATAATTATTTCTTACAAACGATTTGATTATCAGATTTTGTTTTATCAAACAATCCAGATCTATATTTTTATTTTGATTCTGAACTATTTATTACTCTTATGTTTACTTTCTTTCTGCCAAATATCAGCTGTTCTGTGAAAGGCCAGAAATAATGTTTGAATGACGAATTGTTTATTCATTTTAGTTTTGTGTTAAGTCTTGATCATTCAGTTATTAGTTGTATGTGTTGCAATAAGATGAAATAAATTAACATAATTACCTAATTAACAATTCTTCCCTAAGTGTAGAAACCATTTTTAATCATAAATCTTTGCTAAACCACAACTTGAACACAGAAATTCACCAATTATTGCCCAAGATAAAAAAATCAACGTATTTGCGATTTAAAATGTAGAATTTTACTCAATTGAGTATTTGAACCTGGTGAATTATTACATTTTAATCGATAATTTCTTAAGTAAAAGAAATTGAAATTAATATAGCTAAATTTGGGAGAATAACTCAACTGACTTCTCCAAAAGATGGCCACAGGTCAAGTATCCAGTATAGTAAAGCCATTCTAGAGCACTTTTACGACACTTTCTTTTAAATCTCGCGCCAGTTGCTCTGGATGCAGTACACGCGAACTTTAGTAATGTACCTTGCCCGCGACCACGACATGCCTGACGTACAAGCAAAATTACCTGTCATTAAAATCACTATTGCGGCTGTGGTATTACCTGTTATTTCTGTCAATCCGCCAACAGGAGCAGTTTGCGTGGAAACTTTTTTACTTGTACGTTGCACGAATTGAAGAAAATTACGTTTCTAAATTTCCATTTAAATAAATAGTTTTTGAAGATTATTCTTTAATTAAAATTCATTGTATTGCAAGTTCAATCGAAAGCGTGATGAAAGTGAACATGTTCTCTGATATTCTTTACAACTTCAATGAAAATAAAAATAATTATTTCACACGCTTTTTGACATTTATATCATTCATACGCATTTTTTCATTGTCGCTATTGAAATATAAAAAAATAGAAACTACCCTTCACCTCCTACTGCACTCTTCAGTGTTTTAGGCGAGAATTGGTATGGTGTAGTTAGATGTAGGGATGTACATTTTTAAGACAAGTGCTTCAACAAGAGTACATAAACTAGAACAGCAATGGCCCTGTCGGCCGTCCTTCATGTCACCCCAGTTGACAGATTTTCCAACTTTTTGGCCGTGCGCTGAACACTCCTGTAGGACCAGTACCAAACCAATATTCGTGTCTTCCTTAACACAAACTTTCATTATCGGTTGGTCTGTCAAAATAGACATAACTTAAAAAGCATATTAATTTTTTTTGACGTGACCTAAAACAACTACTATGAGAAACGAATAGTGTTCATTGTGCAGGTCTCTTCAGGTTGTAGAACTATAATGTACTATACGGGCGTTTATAATCTTCCGTGTGCCGAGCTTTACCTCCAAACAAAGTTGCAGGAAAAAAATCGTATTTGCAATTGCTACATTATCTTTGGGAACCACAGCAGATATAGGCATGTAAATCCCGTACCTATTCATTCCGATTTTCTTAGAAAGATATTCAACTAATACCTACGCCAAGAACATTGTGAAGTCTTTTTGGCGTAATTCTTTAAGAGTTTTCATGAAAAGAAAAGAATTTTATCAATATAATAAGTGTAGCGTTAACAGCACACGATTGGAAGATTTAAGTACTTCATATCATAAAATCGATTTCAACTGTCCGGAAGAGCGAATTGTTATCAAGACATTTCTTTTACGAATTAAAGAATTTTGCACGTAAATTGCAAGGCGTGCAAGTTATGTTGTGAGACACTTATACTAATAGCAAATTAATAATATGAACGTTTTAGAACACAAAAATAGTCGACGTTTTAACAATTTACTACTTAGGAAATATCTAACGTAGGAGTAATGGGGCCATGATCACTCTTTTTTTTTTAAAGTAAACAATCCTCTGTTTGGACCTGCAAGGCTGAAATAAGCAAACAACTTTGAACCGTAATAGTATTTTATATAAACATTTCTCACGGAAACTACTGGTGCATTAAAAACGGCTGGAGGAATTATTGTGTATAACTAATTGATTTATAATGCCACTCTCGTAACAAAGACGAGCAATAAAAGTAGTCTACCAATACTAAGCCAGATAAAAACGTTTCAGTTAATGAAAACAACATGTCGCGTCATTTAGTAACTCTCCGAACTTTGCTCCTAGAAGCGCGTCAGACAGTTAAGAATGTTCTTTGTAGTTTTACTTTTCATTTGTTTTCACTTTAAAATTGACCACATCTTGCAGCACAACACCACATAACTACTAGTACGATAACTGCAGATAACGTAATGAAGCTGTGATGATTTAAAACCACGTTACCACGTCGCACTAGCTTTGAATTACTAAAACCTTACACTTCAGGAACATTGTTTTATTTCGTTCGGTGTTCATTAGAGTCTGAAACAAGAAAAACCGTGTTAGCTTCAGATAAATACCAGCACCGTTCGTGAAATATCTAGCAATTAGAAAATCTAGAAATAACACTTGAAAATAATTTTGAGACCACGATTTGCGATTTATTTTTCTGATTTTAGAGATAATAGTTCGTCCAGCTTCACATGTATACTCTACTACGAAACTTTGACCAACAAGTTAAAATGTCTCCTGAAACTGTCCGGTACTGACGATCGAACGTAGCTTTAGTTAGTAAACACTGTACAAGATAGTGTATAAAATTCAGATGTATTGAACTTTCGTCTTTAGACACTGCCGCCTAAACCTGACTCATGTTACAAGATTGCGAAGTGGCTAGCTCTAGCTCGCTACCCGGGCGATTTGAATCCGCTGCTTCATTCTCACACGTCATATTCCAAAGATCATCTGTTTAAAGTAGTTTTGCAGGTGCATTCCTAGCAAACTTTGAACATAAAAATGAAATCATCACGAATCAGTTCCTTGAAGAGAAAGGACACTTCACTTGAGAACTTTACTTGTTATTGTATTTGCAGTTCTGTAAATCTCATGTCACCTTTACTGGTTCCTCAAATTACAAGGGAACCTTCAATACTCAACATTGTCTTCGACACTAAAAAACTTACTCAGTGGAAACATTTACAGCTCACGTGAAGGAAAAAAAGGAAAGGAGAAAATGTTTCCCGTTATATCTGATCTAATAAGCGAGACGAGGAAATTAAGTAATACGACTTTACAAGAGTAAATCTTGGAGTCAAATGATATGTTAATGAATAACAGTTTTATTCCATTTGCACAAACCGTTGTCCTAAAACTGAAAACGATAAGTGAATATTACGAACAGTACACGAAACAAATCTAGTTCAATTTATTATCAAGTAGACTCCGCCACCGACACTTTCGCTCATATTTCCTCTCCTTGACAGCAACTGCAATCTGGCTTGCTCGCCCTCTTAACATCGTGTTCTGCTGCAAAACTTCCCATGGAGCCCTACCTCGAGCCGCAATTTACGACCACTGGCAAATACCCCTTCATCAATCGCCGATCACTACGACCGGGAGCAGCGAAGGCGAAATCCTGGGTTATTTATTCCATTTATTTCCTGCCTCTTGTCTTGTTCCCTGATCCCTCTACCGCTGTGCGTTGGGCAGGCGAAACCGTCAACGGCGAAACCGTCAACGGCGAAA